CAAAAGTTGATACGGATCTACGATTTTGATAAAATACTTATATATGAAATTTCACCAGCCTAGCTGTAACGGTACTCAAGTTATCGTGTTTACACACGGACACACAGACACACACAGACATACGGACAAGATTGCAAAATTATGTTTTTCCGTATCAGTGAGGTGTAAAACGTCGAGATTTGTAAAAATCTCGATTTTTTTTTTGCACGATTACAATACTTTCTCTATACTACGTATATACGAGAAAGTAAAAACACGAAAAAATATCATAGACAGCGGACTCCGATTTTGACCTTTTCTTTTTACAAGCTTTTATTTAACTCACTTCCTCTGTCTGTCGTCAGTCTAGACGGAAACGCAGGAGTGAAAATTCGGACAGTTCTACTTGACAGATACGATTCACAGTTGGCACGTGGGTCAAGACATGAAGACAATGCAATCTGAAACTAAATTTGACTTAATTGGATGCCTAATTAATTTTTTATTAATTAATTAAAATTTGGACCGAATTAGTAGGCATGTCTAGCCAACCACACCACACGCGTCATCACCTTGAATAGCTGCGCCATCACGTAATGGCTGCGTTCAAAAACCATTGCGCGCCTACTGAACGTGTTGTTCAGTAGGCGCGCAATGGTTTTTAGTCATGTAACTCTATTGTAAATAAAACTTGTAAAGTACTGAAAAAAAAAATTCATAAAAAACGTTTTAATAACAAGCTTTTATGTAATGATGCACTAAAAAGTAGAAAATAAATTATAGACTACTATTTAAATAACTATAAAGAAAAGCGTGGGTGTCTTCCTTAACATTAGTAAAGGTATCCAATAGATACTAAAGTGACCCACGCTTTTCTTTATAGTTATTTAAATAGTAGTCTATAATTTATTTTCTACTTTTTAGTGCATCATTACATAAAAGCTTGTTATTAAAACGTTTTTTATGAATTTTTTTTCTTAAATTAGCTTCCATTGCTTTTGTCCTTCCAATAACAAACTACAAAACAGCAGTCCTTCCAATAACAAACTACAACACAGCCGTCCTTCAAATAACAAACTACTACACGACAGACCTTCCAATAACAAACTACTACACGACAGACCTTCCAATAACAAACTACAACACAGCAGTCCTTCCAATATCAAACTACAACACAGCAGTCCTTCCAATAACAAACTACAACACAAATGTCCTTCCAATAACAAACTAAAACACAGCAGTCCTTCCAATAACAAACTACAACACAGCCGTCCTTCTAATAACAAACTACAACACAGCAGTTCTTCCTATAACAAACTACAGCACAGCAATCCTTCCAATAACAAACTACAACACAATCTTGCTAGATTTTGGAGTTTTCTCTCCTAGAAGAGTTGCTGTCCCCAGCTATAGAGCTTCATCTGCCTGGGGTTTCAATCTCAGGATATTCCATGTATCAACTCTGAGTCTTACCAACCCGACCACGCAGCTACCAAGTATATTGTTTTCCGGACAAGCCACACTTGTCAGAGATATATTGACCTTCGGAATTCCACGAGCTGAAACCGGATTATTCTTTAAAATGTTATCAATTGCTCTGGGGCTTCTGGTTGTGGTATCAGTTCCTCAAGGGGATGTCATGTGATTTGGTTTAAAGTATCGATAACACCTTACTAGATCTCGGAAGGTAGTTCGATTTGGAAATTTAAACTAGGAATATGGCAATGTAAAAATCAAAACTAAATTGAATAAGTTGATTGGAGGATTACAATTTACTCGGAATACTTATAACTAACGGTAAACATTTACAATGAAAAATGTCCTTGTATTATCTAACAATAAAAGAGGTGCTCATTTTCACTTAAAATAACGCGTTGAAATAATATCAAGGTAAAGACAGACTTCATCGTGTATAGTTAGTGGATAACTAATTAAAAAAAACAACATATTTAATCAATCCAGTTTATCTTCATTATCGAGGTTAAATTATTTACAGCTAAAAATGTGTACCTACGCGCCAAACTTGCATTATTAACATTTCGTCTCAGTAAAATGAAAAAAAAACATTAAAAAAAAAACTAAAAATGTAGCGTCGATTTACCGAAAAGTGCGCACACGTAGCTAATAACTCACACCTCGCTACTGGCAGCAGATGGTTTTAACATTCACACGTCATTGCCGGTGCCGGCTCCAGAAAGCCGGCACTATGTTACGCCACGGTTACCCATTAGAAGAACCACAACCCCGAACTTGGCTAATCACGGCCGACAAACGGCGTTAATTACCACGCTTGTTTTTCAAATTGATTTTTGCCGATGTTCCTGGTAGATGCTAAGGTGATGTTATTGAAGGGTTTATTGGAGGGTTTATTGAAGGTTTTATTGAAGGGTTTATTGAAGGGTTCGATATTCATGTTTTTAACCAGAGTGTCTTAGATCTGAACTACTATCTACATCGATAGACCTTCTTCATAAAAAAAGTAAAGATTCCTATTTAGACCTAGTGATCCATTGGGCAGATGAAGTAGAGTTTCGTACGTTTCGTGAACTCGGCATATGCAGGGATAGTGTGGTCAGCAGTATGTCAAGTTGCCTTTAATAATGTGAATTAAGTACCCACAGACCTGGGTAGACTCAGGGACGTTCCACTGACTTGAAACATATGAAACACTTCATCTGTCTTGTATCTTGGGCGAGAACGGACAAAAAGTTTAAATATGGGTATGTATAATATATATATATATATATATATATATATATATATATATATATATATATATATATATATATATATATATATATATATATATATATAAACACACCATGCTGTTAAGTCTGGACACTTAAAAATCAATTGGGGATTAATTGAAATTATAATTCAAATCCTTGGATTAATTAAAGAATGTCAGAAAACGTGTCATATTTCTTCTTGAATAAAAAAACAACAACTTGTAAATTGAGAGGGGATGAACTGCATGTTTCCAGCTTACGTTGGATACAATGCAAATATCGTATTCAGGTGTGTGGACAATGCAAATGTCGTATTCAGGTGTATAGGGGAGGTGGGTCTTGTAAGAATAATGGCGCCCGTGAGATCCTAATGCGGGTTTAAATTAAATTAAATTCAGCCGCATTGTTTTTGGTCCTACCTCATGCTGCGAATTTCTGACACCTGAATTCTGGGAATCGTGGTGAGTGAGGGGGTATTAAAAAAAAACAACAATCGTATTCAGTATTAAGGTGGATTTACATATAATTACAATTTCGTATTACTAAGCAACGGCTTTAGTTTTTTTTTTTTCTTTTTCTTTTTTTTTTTTTTTTTTTTTTTTTTTTTTTTTTTTTAAATTAAGAAAAAAAACAACACATTTTATGTTTAAAAGAAGTGGATTTACCAGCAAAATGTGGACACGGAGCGAGTGTAGAGCAAATACCTCCCGCGTAATCTCGCAGGGTTTAACATTTTGAGCGTAACCCGAGAACACAATAGACCGAAGTAGAACAAAGAGCGAATTGACAAGAACTTGGAGCCGTCTGCCGCACGGAACAGGGTGCCGGGCGTCTCTGCCAAATTTTCAACATCACCCAGACAACCTCGAGTGTCCCCCCCCCCCCCCCACTGCCAACAACATCTGCTGTCAAAAGTCTAGGAAGAATTTGGCAGATAAATCTAGAAGACGACTTACGTAAGTACTCGAGGATTGAAGGATTTGACACTGCTGACGTGAAGGACGGATGGCGTAGTTCTTATGGTGAACTTTGAGCTGTGGCGCCGGTTAGTGTGTAAGGGACAAGCGAAAATATCAACGTAACAGTGGTAAGCCGTTAGGGATAGAATAGGTAAAGGAGTGCAGTCTGCTTACTAAATGTGATGAAAGAAAATGTTAGTATTTAGACCTATTGTTTATATATATATATATATATATATATATATATATATATATATATATATATATATATATATATATATATATATATATATATATATATATATATATATATATATATATATATATATATATATCGTGTGTCTAGGCCTGTTTAGCACCCATATACACTACCATATCATGTAGCTGTGTTTTCCACACCACCACTTAAATACTGATACACACACCATCACACACACACATGAGTACTTATAGACACACTATCAAACCCCCACACAATTACTGATACACACACTATCACACCCTCACATAACTACTGATACACACACCACCACACCCCCAACGAAGTACCAACCCACACAACATTACACCTCGCAGTCCCACATTGGACACAATCTTCACCCAACACACCAAAGCACCGCGAACACCAACTGGTTCTAATGCGCATATAATCATCTTTATCATCATTGTCATCATTATTGTGTAGTGGACCCATCCCCCCCCCTTTTTTTTAAGTTTAGGAACGCAACTACAACTTTCTACAGTTCTCGTGTTTAGGCTATTTCTCCAAGTTTGGCCCATGACATTCTAGCTGCGTGTGCTAACTCTACACATTACAAAGGAATTTCCTTAACTCTACCCCCTCTTGTTCCATCTGTCATTAAAAACAAACCCCCGGATATTTAAACACCCCTCCATCTACACAAAACTATTCCCGGCGATTACGTTTAATAATACATCTAAGTAAAACCCAATCCTTTCTCCATCGCTCCCCCATTGTGATGCTAATTCGCCAAGTAACGGATCCCACCGCAAACAGAAAAACGAATCCCGAAATTCAGCTTTGTCCTGCTTTGAAAAAGGGAAAAGGAGTCAATTTCGCCGACAAAGAAATGCAAAAATCTCCAAGACAAATCGCCCCGGTACAAGGGGAATAATTTATGCAAGACACTGGAGTACAGCCCCTTTGCTTCTGAAGTACCTGATACGCCATCTTCTGTTGACATAGTAGATCAGTGTCAACTATAGGCTCTGTGTTGAGGTATGTAAACTGTACTGAGGGACATATATAGAGTACTTTGGACACTGCCCAGCAGGTTAATATAGATGGGCTGTAGCATAATTTGAGTAGTGCCTAGCCGGGTAATATAAGAGAGCTATAAGGTACTTTGGATACTGCACAGAAGGCTAATATAAGAGAGCTATAAGGTACTTTGGATACTGCACAGAAGGCTAATATAAGAGAGCTATAAGGTACTTTGGATACTGCACAGAAGGCTAATATAAGAGAGCTATAAGATACTTTGGATACTGCACAGAAGGCTAATATAAGAGAGCTATAAGATACTTTGGATACTGCACAGAAGGCTAATATAAGAGAGCTATAAGGTACTTTGGATACTGCACAGAAGGCTAATATAAGAGAGCTATAAGATACTTTGGATACTGCACAGAAGGCTAATATAAGAGAGCTATAAGGTACTTTGGATACTGCACAGAAGGCTAATATAAGAGAGCTATAAGATACTTTGGATACTGCACAGAAGGCTAATATAAGAGAGCTATAAGGTACTTTGGATACTGCACAGAAGGCTAATATAAGAGAGCTATAAGATACTTTGGATACTGCACAGAAGGCTAATATAAGAGAGCTATAAGATACTTTGGATACTGCACAGAAGGCTAATATAAGAGAGCTATAAGGTACTTTGGATACTGCACAGAAGGCTAATATAAGAGAGCTATAAGATACTTTGGATACTGCACAGAAGGCTAATATAAGAGAGCTATAAGGTACTTTGGATACTGCACAGAAGGCTAATATAAGAGAGCTATAAGGTACTTTGGATACTGCACAGAAGGCTAATAAGGTACTTTGGGTAGTGCCCAGTAAACTAACATAGGAGAGCTATAGAATATTTTGCGTAATGTCCAACAGGCGAATATACAAAGGGTATAGAGTACGTGTGTATGTTGGTCGACAAGGCATTACCGAGGTTATTTTTTATCTTGCGATGGTAATACCTCTATTCCTATGTCAATCCTTCAAGTTTACCTAAATAACAACTTAGTCAAGACACACAATACACATGTTATTTTTTGTAGTTGGTATATATTTAAATGGCTAAGCAAAGCTGACTTGTCAATTTACTTAAATAAGCAAATCCAGTCAACGGAAATTACTCAAAATTTAACAGAAGGTAGAGAATTAGATCTTTTACTTACATGTGAAATTTCATGTATCTATCTGAAATAGTACTCAAGTTATAGGCTTTTGAAAAATTCAAGTAGGAAAAGTACCACTTCCGGTTATCGAAAATCGCTCAAAAGTTGATACGGATCTACGATTTTGATAAAATACTTATATATGAAATTTCATCAACCTAGCTGTAACGATACTCAAGTAATCGTGTTTACACACGGACACACAGACACACAGACACACAGACACACACACACACACACAGACATACGGACAAGATTGCAAAATTATGTTTTTCCGTATCAGTGAGGTGTAAAACGTCGAGATTTGTAAAAATCTCGATTTTTTTTTTTGCACGATTACAATACTTTCTCTATACTTCGTATATACGAGAAAGTAAAAAAATCAAAACTCCCGGCATGATTATTCCCACGTTTTCTTTAACTTGCTTTCTCTGTGTGTTTATTTATTTATTTATTTGTTTGTCTTTCCAATCCAATCTTGCGATCGAAATTTCTGGCACTTCCCAGTTAGCTAGCGCGCTGAAATTTTCAGGGAAGCTTTCTTTTGGATGACCATTGAATATTCAATTGTTATTATTACTAAATTGATCAATGGAAACATTTTATTGAGCATTTTAGACCGCTATATAATCTATATATATAATTCTCCTCTGCTAGCCATTAGAAAAAAAACCAGCGACGCGTACCTCGCGCGCAGTGAAGCGAACGATCACATGTCGCCACAGGCTTAGGGGCAGAGAATTTAGCTTGAACCGAGTTTAAACTTACAGGAGGTAGGACAGTTTGGGGGAGACGATATGGTCGAGTGGTTGGGCACACGATTGCTATCCCACTCGACACGGGTTCAAATCTATGTGTACTAGTCAGTAACGTATTCAACCAACGTGTTTTTTACGAGTTGTCTTTTTACGAGTTGTCTTTTTACGAGTTGTCTTCGTTTACCCAAAAAAAGTGAAAAGATAAAATCGATAGCAAGATTTTAATGCAAACAAACAGACAAAGACTAAAAAGTAGAAAATAATAATCATTAAAAAAGTTTTAAAAAACCCACGTTTTCTGATTGAACTAAAAAGTAGAAAATAAATGCTATAGGCCCTACATCACAATAATGCAAGCGATCACTCTACTATAAGCGAGCAAAAACGTGGGGCGCCGTGATTTTCTTACAGTTTCTAATACTGTTGACTCTCTACAAGCTCCCTAATAAAAGTCAATAGTATTATCTAATCAATAGTAATATAACTTTTACTTCGGCGCCCCACGTTTTTCATCGCTTATAGTAGAGTGATCGCTTGCATTATTGTGATGTAGGGCCTATAGCATTTATTTTCTACTTTTTAGTTCAATCAGAAAACGTGGGTTTTTTAAAACTTTTTTAATGATTATTATTTTAAAAATAATGTATATTTCAATTGAGAAACTAGTTGCTTACCAACCAAACAAAACTCAATGTAAATACTATTATATCTTTAGCTTAACTTTTCTCAGTTCTTTGTTTTTCGTAAACCACTTTTGATGTTAAAAAAAATGAAACGATTATGTAAAGTAGGGCTAGGTATATACAGTCAGCGAGGTTAAAACGCCATGAACAACCCAAAGGGCGTCTAACGGTATTGACCTTTCAGTTAAATCAACACAGACCGTGCAACAGCCCAGGAAAATGCGCGGACTTCAAAGAGGTACATTTTTTTTCAAAGTTCTAAATCCTCATGAGTACATCTAACAAAATTAAAATCACGTCGCGCCGTCCTAGGACATGTCTGCTAAACCGATGCAACACCCACGCCAACATAAAAAGAAGGGAGGGGGGGAAGGAAAATCGTGAGGAAATAGGTGGGGGGGGGAGGTTAGGTCACATGGCACTGGGACCAGGTTTGAAGGTACTTGTGCAACTGGCTTCAAATTGGACTTAACTGGGTTGCCTGTTTGTTCAGTCAATATTGATATGTACAAGATGACTTAAAGGATCAATGACTAAACTCTCAAACTAAAGGGTACATTTGTGAAATAGTATGAAAACTGATAGGAGCCTACATAACAATGCTTAACCAAACATACATACATATATATATATATATATATATATATATATATATATATATATATATATATATATATATATATATATATATATATATACACACTTATTAGACTGTTCTAATGTCTATTCAAGGACGATATTAAATTTAAATTATGAAATTTAAAAAAAAAAATGTATCTTCAATTTAGTTTAACGGTAACATTTTTATCAATGTCCTAAACTGCAAGAGACCGCACTTCCGCTGGGTGCTGATAGGTAAGTAAGAAAAGTGGGGGAGCTGGGGGTGGGGGGGGGGGGTAGTGGCACAATACTTTCGGCGGTGAAATCAGGTTAGATAATGTTGATGGCAGTGATGAGTTTGCAGACACATCCAGGGGGAATGAAATGGGGGGAGGGGGAGGAAAGATGGGAAAACGAAGTCCGCGGGAAAGATACATTAAAATTAAACGCACCACCGGAAGTACACCGGACAAGGCGTGAAGTGAGGCAGGAAAATGATTTCCGGGTTGATGAAATGTTAGTTGGGAATGGGTTAATTCTGAGTACATTGATCGTCTAGTTTATGCCAGGTTCTTGAATACATTTTAGTTACCGTATTTTAAAAATAATTATTGTCGGTAAGAAAAGAGTTAATGGCGAATATATTGATTATCTTTTTTATATTTTAGTTGGATATAATTTAGTTACCGTTTTTTTAAAAATAATTATAATGTAATTGTGTTGTTTTTTTAACAGTTGATTGTGTGTCAGTGAGAAAAGAGTTAATTACAAACGTTGAAACGTTGATGGTATGTTAATCAAATAAGGGTGATGGCTAATCCGTTATTCGTTATGTTTTAAAATTACAAATTAAAAAAAAAATTATTATAGGAGAGTAAGTTATTTTAAACGTTGGTTATGTTAGTTAGGAAGAGTTACTGCTTAATGAATGATCGTATAGCGTACGGTTTGTTGCTTATTTTATTTTAGTAGCCATTTTTTAAAGAGGTATTATGTAGGTATGTTATATTAAACGTTTATACATGTTTAAAAAAAATAGTTAATGACAGATACACAAATCGTCTTGTATTTGTTGTTGTTTTTAAATATCTTTTAGATGACTGTGTTAATTTTTTTATGGATATGAATGTTGTCATTAACATTGATTATATGTTACAAATGATAGAGAGGCTCTTTTTTTTTCCATTTTATTTGTCAATTAGCCATTGCAATCATTATCTAATTGTATTGGACTTTACTTTTACAATTATCTAAATAGTTAAAATCAACCGTAGTTGTTTTAGTTTTTCCTATTCAAGAAAGAAAAGAGATAATTATTTCTAAGTAAACCGTACAAATTTCGATGCCAGGCAATATGGTAACCAGAATTCTTCCAGATAGTAAAATATCCATGTCTCATACCCAGCACTAACTCAAGTTTCCTGAACTAACATTAGGGTAGAGGCAGCAGAACGTTAATCTAAACACAATTACAATTTTGTTAGTTCGCCGACTTGGAGGTTATGTTCCCATATAGAGAGAGTTCACATGTATGCAAAAATAAATTTAAAAATTGGAGGAAGTTCAACACAGAGACATCCGTCTTGGGTTGCTGGGATCTGCTTTCAGATGGACACGCTCGCTTGTTGACCCTAGTCACAATGAACTCTGACCCTCGCTCAGGTTAAATATCTAGTACCGCATGCGGTTTAAAATCCTGGGCAACACGATATGCTGGAGTCAATGGCGTGCAATTATCTCGGCAATTTTATTCTTGGCAGGATGTGTTGTTGATTTTTTTTTTTTTTTTTCCTCCAGAACAAATAGGACAATCTTCCTGTTTTGTTTATCTAGCGGAGTTGTCACCCTTTCATTGATTCGCTCCCTTGCAAACTGAGCGGTTCAGAAAATCAGCAGACGCTAAAGATTTTTCTTCCGGCCTTACCAACGTACCAGAGGCGTAGCGACCCTTCCCGGCGCCCGGGGACAAACTTTCTATTTGCACCCCCCTCAAGCTTTCGATTTATTTCAATTTATTTTTCCAACCCATTTTGGCGCCCCCTAAGGTTGGCGCCCGGCGACATATGTCCCCCCCCCCCCCGCCCCCCCCCCCCCCCCCCCCTCGGTACGCCTCTGCAACGTACTTGCTAAATTCACTCCTATGTAAAAGTTATTTAAACCAATACGTTAATCCTGAGTTGGCTAAAATAATGTATTCAATAAACAAAATCATTACACGATCTGAATCCCTTTAAAATTTAGTTATGTCATGCATGACGCGTTAATAAAAACTATTCAAAAGAGCCTCTACGATCAGCAATGGCTCAAATGTATACAAGATTACAAAATAAATAAAATCGTTCAAATACAGTTAGAATACAGACAAATGAAATAAATAAAGATCAATCAGATAAATACCGAAACATCAAATACAGACAAAAGCAGACGAGCAAAAACAGACTTATAAGCATAAATCATATGACTGACACAACAAAATGCTTGCTTTAATAACATTTTTTTTTTACAAATCAGACTTCGCTGATCAGACGCAGCTGAATATTTTAAAATGCTA